GCGACGATGCAAAACCCAAAATAGCACGACTGCAGGTAGTGATTTCTAGGAAAAAGGGGAAGGCAAACCCGTGGTCTCGGCTTCAGGCGAGGCTGGGGTTGGCTTCGTTTTCTTGGGTTCTCAGGTGGAGCTGCTGGCTCCATAGATCGGTGGCAGAGCGGCTTCGAGCCGCAGCTTGCCGGGGTTTCAAAACCATAATTTTTAATTTTTTTTTTTAACTTTAATTCAATTCAATTATATATTTCAATGCATGATCACAATATCAACTCACATAATCCATCAATTATGAATATAATGCTAGACAAGTTATGTAAAATCTAAAATTCGTAAACGTATGGTGGATGTTCATGCTATCGAGATAAAAACCATCGTTTTGGAAGAACTTAATCGCATGATGATATTGACGAACTGGTTTGTAGCAGAAAATTTTATGTTAGATTCCTTAATGTAGCCGAGGAGCGTGCTAATAACGTTTTGTGGCATATTTTACTGACAAATAATATAGGGTACGTGTTGTGGCCTATTTTACTGACAAAGAATATAGGGTGCGACAAAGAGAGGGAGGAGAAAGTGTAGGAACTTCTCTGTGTTAATGAGATGTGTTATTCCCCTACACAGTGCCTTTATTTAGTTCTTATTTATAGTAGTAAAGAGGAGAGAAATTACTTTTCTTCCAAGTAAATACAATCATAGTAGAGAAAGAATAACGAGTATACTCGAGGAGCATGCTAATACCGTGTTGTCACCTATTTTACTGACAAAGAGTATGGGGTGCGGCAAAGAGAGAGTGGAGAAAGTGTAGGAATTTCTCTAAGTTTATGAGATGTGTTATTTTCCCTAAACAGTGCCTTTATGTTTATAATAGTAAAGAGGAGAAAAATTATTTTTCTTCCAAGTAAATACAATCCTAGTAGAGAAAGAATAACTAGTATCCAAATCTACCAAGGATTTATACAATCACACTTTAATATAATATTTGTAACAGTTTGTTAAAGAAAAAAAAATTATATATTGTCAAGCTTGCCACATATATGGTCAGATTCTCTGTCTAGAAACGAGCGGAAACGACCGTATCTCTAACTATATCGTAAACTAGGAACGAACCAACTTTGTGCGTGCCCTCTAAAATTGTCAATGCTTTGCCAGCGTCTTTCCACATATCCACCCACATATGCACCATCTAAATAGAAGACGCCGCTATCATTAGATAGCGTAGTAGGAACGCAATGTTCGAGGAGCCCTTGGCCTTGAAAATAAATGCGATTCCCTTTTAACCCTATAAAATCACTCGTTTGCAAAGACAAGAAAGAACCACTTGCTATGAAGAATGTTTGGTCCCCCAAACTGTGTACCCTGATAAAGCTCCCACTATAGGGGTCAATCTTGTAAACCTTAAATTTAGTAGTCCTGCTAAATTTGGAGGGATGCATCCGACGCTCAATAATCTGATGTTCAATAACACTACTCTCGAAAGTATCCTTCATATGATGAATCAGCAAGATTTCGTTGTTGGTTGTTGATTCGAACAAATATGCCCGGTGATTTCCATTTAAATTGATTCTGTGCAAGAAATCACCATGTCCACGGTTAAGAGAACTACATGGTTCTTCTATGTTGTCATAGACCAACTTCAATTCAACTGCACAGGGTTCGTCTTCATCTTCATCTCGAAAGTTCAAGATGAAAGCTCTAACGCCACCATTCTTATTACTGTAAGTACTCGTAACCAAGGCGTAAAACACGCCGCGAGAAAACAATAGATCCAAAGGATACTCATCCTTAAAATAATCTGTTACTTGGAAGGTGTTCCAACGTTTTCCTCCAGGTCTGCACAAACTCAATTCCTTATAAGGACCTACAAATACTGCCACTATACATTCTGAGATATTTGAACTCGGACAATTCAATTTTATAATCAAGAAAAGCCGAGGCCGCACATGCTGTCCTTTCTTCTCCATTGACACTCTGTTCAAAAGACGCAATTGTTTTCAAGGATGGAAGTTGGTGTTGAGCTTTGGAAATTGGGTTCAGTAGAAATACTTTAGAGTCTACTCCTTGTTCCCTGATCATGATCAACCAACCTTTGCGAAAACTATGAAACCACCCTCGACATCTCTTAGGCAGCTTAATTTCGAGAACTTTACCCTCAGATAAGCCGTAAAACTTTAAGTACTTGGGACTTTCTTGAGGGTATAGTAAACATGGAAACTGTGGAGAGCAATGGATGTCACTTCGTGTAACAGTCGAATTCCAAAACTTGCAGACGGTGCTTAAGCGTATGTGATCACTTAAGTTCAGGCGCTGTAGAATATTTTCCAGTATATCCATAGGTGGTGTCTGCCAGCGAGCATAATTAGCTTTTTTCATGTCGTCTTGCTTTCTGTTGCCTCTCTTGTTTTGAAGTAATTTCTTGAAACAAAGGGAAGACGCAACCACTTTTCCAGAATATCTTGAGGTTTTGAAATTAAACTGGGTAGAACGTTAGAGCCCTAAACTTTTATTTATATAGACATCGCAAGCCTTGGGCTACAAGGATTAGGATTCCTTGTTCAATATAATTAATTACATTCTATTACATTGAACAAGGAATCCTAGCTAGTATTATATTCTAGGGTAAAGTACAAAAAACTACCTTAACTATTGGTGTTCCGACACTTTCATACCTCATCTTTTAAAATTGACAATGTTATACTTCATCTTACGAATTTATGCCAATGTAATACCTTCTGTTAGCTTGGCGTGAATTTCTCAATTAAATGCTGACAGGCGGCGTCCTTCTTTCTTCTCCCCCATCCCCCCACCCCCTCTTCTCCCCTACCCGAGCCCTTACCTGCAACCCCAAAAAAAAAAAAAAAATCCCAATTCTTCTTCCCCTTGCATCCACCCTCCGCACCCATCCTTACACCCACCCAACCTCGCACCCACCCCCTTGCGGAATCGGTGAAAGGGATCTGGGTTTTTTTTTTTTCTTTTCCTTCTTCTTCTTCTTCCTCCTCCTTCTTTTGCTTTTTGGTTTGGCTGGGTGTTGGATTTGTTTTTTTTGGGGGGGGGGGGGGGGCCGGGGGGGGGGGGAAACGAATTGGGTTTGTGTTTTTTTGGGAAGAGGGACGAATTGGGTGGGTTTTTTTTTTTTTTCCTTCTTCTTGGGGTTGGGGCAATTTTTTATTTTTTTTATTTTTTTGGTTGAATCACGCAGGAAAGAAGAAGATGGGGAGAGAGAGAAGGGGGAGGGGGGTGGATGGGAAGGTTTTGATTTTTTTTTGTTTCAACTTTTTTTTATTATTTTAATTTTTAATTTTTAAAATTTTTTTTAATAGGAAGTGGGGCCTGGTTTAAGCCACGTCAGCATTTAACTGATAATTAACGACAGGCTAACGGAAGGTATAACATTGACACAAATTCGTAAGATGAGGTATGACATTGTCAATTTTAAAAGATGAGCTATGAAAGTGTCATGACACCAATAGTTGAGGTAGTTTTTTGTACTTTACCCTATATTCTAATTCTATCAATTAGACGGAATTGAAGAGATTTCGCAATGTATTTTAAGCATTCACAAATCTCACATCTCTCTATGAGATTTCGATGGAATTGAATAAAAAATTTACATAGAATCTCTACAGTTAAATTCTATAAAAACCTATGTATTTATAAATCTTGGTCATAGACTAACATTTTTTTTTTTCAATTTTTTTTTTAACAAAAGTCTAACAAATTTTTAAACCAACAATTTTTTGTCTTGTTTTATTAACACCCTACATTTTATTGATTACATCCCACATACTTAATACACCTACATCTACTTCTTAACTAAAATTTATCTTAATACACCCCGCTTATTTTCCAATACTACTCTTACAGCCCATACCCTCTCTACGTACACCTCATACCCTACTTAAACCCTACAATCATACTCTTCGTTAATTACATTATTCAAATAGTTTTTGGTGTTTTGTTTTTCTGCAAAGAACTTGCTAGAGTTTTGGGGGAGAAGATAGTCATAGAATTCTCAAATATGTGGATCACGTTGTGAGAAGAAGTATATGCCCATATTGTCTTTCTTGCTTATTTTATGTTTGAATATTTCTGGGCAACTGTAGGATCAAAGAAGAAATTTTAATGTTACGATTCGTGCGTGGAATCTAAAGCTCCACCCAAAAGTTCCCTTTGCATATCAATTAGAGATTTTAAATGATTTTCATGCAAAGGAAACTGTACGTCAAGAGATGTATTTATGAAGAAATATATAAGCACATGCATTTTTCTTTTTTTTAAAATTCTAATAATACAAAAGTTGGAGATGACATTTTAGTTTCAAACTTACAGATGATATGGATGTTGAAATCAATATGGAAGTTACAAATGATACAGATGTTGTAGTCAATATCCAAGTGACAGAGCTACGAATGACGTCGAAGCCTCCAAAACATTGATTTCATGTTTCAATCGTCAAAATTAACCTCTTTTTTTCATTAACCATGTTGTGCTATTAGTTACGGTTTTGTTTTATAATTGAGGTGAGAGTATCTTCAAGAGCTTGGAAGAAAACAATATTAGAATACATATTGACAAATAGTTGTTTTTTAATTCATATATGGTCTAAATAGTAATTGCATCTCTCACACGGAGTTTGAAACTAATTAGTTTTCTGTACTACCTTTCGCAAAGGGAACAAAGGATTAAGGTATCGTTTAATATGTAGACGGGACGGGACGGAACGGAATTGGACGGGACGGGACAGGACGGAACGGAACGGAACGGAGCGGGAGCAAAGATGCCCTCGGATGGAAACAAGGAGGAAGAAGAAGGAGACGGAGAGGTTATAATTTTGTGTTCCATGGATGTGGAACGAGTCGTTCCAGGGGGGTGAGGTGGAACGAAAATTCATCCAAAACTCGTCCCGTGGAACAGCTCGTTCCATCCGTTTTAGACGCACCAAACGTGGGACGGAACGCCTTGTCCCACTCTGTTCCGCCCCGTCCCACGTACCAAACGGTACTAAAAGACCCAATCAAGTGATTGCTATCGAATTCTTGTGCTAAGTCTGTTTCCGATTCCGACTTGGATCCAATCGCAATCATTGTAGATTTGCTTCTGATTTCTTAAATAGAATCCACCTTGATCTCTCTCTTCTCTCTCACACTTCACCTTAATATCAATGACATTCTCCCAAATTTCTCGCTCATATTTCTACATATCTGATTCGAGCTCTATCAGAAACCCAACTCAGCACCCATTTGTTCTCCGGTTTCCTAACTTCTCCAGGTTATTTTGGCTGAGGGGTGTAAATTGATCTGACCCCTCCCCCTCCCTCATCTTATCTCTTCCATCAGGTCTCTCACTCTTGCCGCCCGTTGGATCGCTTTGCTTCCTTCGATTTTCAGGTAATAAGCTTCAGTTTCATAGCGTGAAAATTCATTGGAGTCTCTTAGTTGTGTGCAATTGCAGGTTATTTATTGACTGGAATTTAGACGTATTTTACGTTTTCTGTCGATTTATTTTGAGAAATAAATAGGAGCATTTGGTTGGGTGTATGAATCGCAGTTGTTGTAGTCTTTTTCAATTTCTCTTAGCAAATCCCGTTTTCAATCTCTCTTGAGCAAATCTAAGCACACACGGGGATCAAAATCATAATATTATTATTAATCCATACTATCTTTTTCAGGTGGGTAATTTGGATTTTAAAGGTTTTGCTCGTCCGTTGCTTGTTTACATGAACATGATGTATGATATTATGCGTCTTTGTTAACTTTGGTTACTCTCATTACTTTAATAGTATTTATCAAACTAAATTCTTTAAGCGGTTTAATTTAAATTCTTTCATTGACAATGATCTCTTTTTACCTTTGACCCTACAGGGAGAATTTTTTAAGATGGAGCCGGACAAGGGTTGGTTTTTGTACCTACAGAAGAACCATGAACTATTTTCCCTTGATATTAGCAAATTATTGGCGTGGAGCTCTTTGGAGAAGGCTCGGAGGCCTTCTAGACCGGATTTTAAACTTGTGAATGCTTCTTGTTATCCAGACGGAAGCATGGTGCCATTCGGAACAAGATATATGATTGTAGGTTCCAACCCTTACATTGTTGGGGGTCAGTTCGGTTGCCCGCATCCTCTTTTAGGGTATGATTATTGGCCCAACTTTGATGTTATTGCATGTGATCCTCCCACTGATGATCCATGCAAGAGTAATCTACCCATGTTGTCTGGTCCTAAATTTTATCCTTTTGTTATTACCCTCGGGAACAAAATTTATGTTTTGTCCCTACAGTACAGGGGATGTATCACAGAAACATGGCCAGCTCTTTTTGAGGTTTATAATCCCGAATCTGGGAAGTGGAAAATTCTCCCGAACCCCCCCTTTGTCGTTGGTAAGACTGTCACCAGTCCTGCTGCCCATCACTACTATGCTTTGGGACACAAGCTCGTGGTGACAAACACATGGTCAGTTGAGTCATACGTGTTCGACACTCTTGAAGAGAAATGGGAGCCATGGGACAGTCGGGAGGATCCATTTGAAATCGCATATAAACCCCATCCTACGTTAGCACGATTCAAGGACTTTTTGGTTGCTGTCCATCAAGGGGATTTTGGTGATGTTCTTACTTATCGGTTGGATTCATATGGCATCCCTCGACCGGGTCGGAATCTAGTTGAGCTTGAGAACATATTCCTTCCTCCTCTGGACCGTTGCTTTCCCTTCATCACTGAAATCAACGACGCTGGCCTTATGTGCATTGTGTGTTATTCTGGCATTGAACAATCGGAATTGTGGCGTTTACGTGTAGTGGTGTTCCAAGTGTCCATCTCAGGCCATCTTGACAATCAATTCCTTTGTGCTGATATTAAGGCCAAAGGAACTTACTACTTCTGTCAACGTATTGATCCAATCATCTTCCCACCAGTTATCACGTAAGCAATTATTTCCAATTCCCTTGGACATCCCTATTCCAAACTTACTCTTTCCCGTTTCTTATAATAGTTAACTCGTATTTTCACTGTTCATATTTTTGTTGGTGATGTATTTGTGATATATTATAGGGTAGCATGTTACAGTTCCTAAATTTTAGTATGGATGAGTCACAGCAATTTATCCATCATTTGTTCGCCTTCATGTTCCACAGCATTCCTCGTGTGGTTTCAGCAAATAATGGTTTGGATTTGGAGAAAATGGACAAAGATATATGCACCACTGACCTTTTCTGTTAATCCATGTTGAATTTCGTGTATGAGTGCAAGTTTAGATCTTAACTCTATTGGTTTTTAGTTGTTTCTCTATTTCATTAAGTCGTGACTTAAAGTGCTATTATTAGCAAGCATCTTACCATGAAATGGTAGAGTTTGTCCTAGCTGTGAGAGATTGTTTGTTAAGGTTGAGATGTTAAAATTAAGGGTAGCTGAAAGGAATCATGTCCTATGTTCCGAGCAAAAGGAACATTCAATAGTAATTTTTTTTACTACCTTTTTTCTTTTGTGTTAGATTTTGATTCACTTTTCTTTTTGCTGCATAGCATTCCGATTTGCTTACATGCACTCATGGTTGTGATTTTTTTCCCTAATCATTTATATTTTTAAATTAAACATGGTAAAACCTGAAATAATGTGGATTGTGGATTTTTATATCAGTCTCTTCACTCTTCTAAGTTGAAGCCAGCGGCTGAGAGCATGTGAAATTTTGGTATGAAGCGAACGTAGTTTTGATTGGTAGGGTTATAATGGATCTCTTCTGGTGTACTTTTGCTTAACTCAAAACTTCTGGTCTTGTCATTTGTAGGAGTGATCGGTTGGACAAGCTCGACAATAAGCCTGATGTATTTTGGAAGAAAGAAAATCTTTCTCGGCTGGATAGGTTTGTTTTCTCTGGATGTAACTAGTAATGGCCAAGTTATTAAGTTCTGTTTTGAATCTCATAGTATTACAGTGAGTATGCAATGCATTTTTTTTTTTTTCTGATAATATTCCTGTATTGTGGTGTTCTTGTTTATGAAAATGATCTGTTGAGCGAGATAGAAAAATTGCAAATCATTTCTATAAGCTTTAGCTTTAGCTGTGAATCTGGAATCCAGTTGCATTAAATTTTTTGAATAAAAGAATCAGCCCATGGTTCATAATCATGGGATGTAAAATATGCAGAAGATGTTTGATTTGCAGTTTGCACAGAACTCTCTCTCTCTCTCTCTCTCTCTCTCTCACACACACACACACACACATGTTATTGCTGTCATACCCGCTTATTTATCTTTCCATCTCAGTCTACCTACTCAGTGATTGTTTTCTTGTTTTTTTTTTCTCACCAATAAAAAGGGAGTTGTACGATGCCTGGTGTTCCGGGTACTGGGGGGCGCTGAAGGGAAGCAGTAGCAGCAGTGGTCATACACAAGATGGCCAGGTACCCTTAGGTCTTATTAATGGCTATGAGTGTGATATTTACAGTTTTGCGTTTGCAAAATGGGGTTACTTTGTTGCAGGGTCATGGGCGAGGGTTCAAAGATGAGGTTGAAAGTAGTTTGCAACAGTTAAGTGTGATTGTGTGGCTTGGTATTCAAGTTTGATAGGCACTAGCAACCAACCGCTTAGTTACACTATTAGTTGTGGTTTTGAAGTTTGTTTATAAGCTCTAAATTAATTGTTTGGTGCAGGAAAAAGAGGGCAAGATATGATAATGCAACTTAGTTTTTCTCCGGCAGAAAATCTTCAACAATGGGGTGCAGAAATGCTTGAGGATGGCACACCAAGAACATGAAGTTCTTTGAAAGAGAATGGGGCAAAAGATGCGAACACATGCTGGAATTGATGAAGTTTAAAAAAAATGGAGATATGTTGTGAGCAAGTAGTTGTAAACTTTGGGATATTCTATTTTGGTCTGTTGGATATTAAACTTTGAAGGGTTGGTGCATGAATATTCGTTAGTTTATATTTAGGAAAACTAATAAAAAGGGTTTGAAAACTTTGAGTTTTAACGATAAGGACAAAATAAAGGGTAAAGTGAATAGTATTAGGATTGACTTTTTAGTGTAAAAATGTGGTTTTTCGTTAAAATGAACAGTACCGCAGACTTTTCGTTAAAACTCCCTTTATATTTTTACCTATGAAGTACTATTAAGCACTGTTGTTTGATACACTGCTTGCTTGTATTTAGCAGATTACAAGTACCTCCCAAGCTAAGAACAGTTGATTAACACCGACCACTTGTTTCATGAATCAAAAACTTAATATAGAAGCATCCGTCGGCACCACATCAATCACATAGGAGAGCGTGAAAAGCACATACCCTCAGATCCATGTAATTCCAAGTAGCCAAATGATCAGCAACATTGCGCCAAATTTTATTTAAATACGAATAGAAATGTTTACATGTTTGGTCAAAACATTAAACAACCAGTCTGGAAAACGCTATCCCCATTGACCTCATCTGTGAGAACCTCGAGTCTTTGTTACGTAGGAAGCCACCGAGCTGCTCCATCACATTTTCGGGGAGCAAACATAATCTTAAACAGATTCCAACTGCATCAATATTTGCATGTCTTCACCTTTCCTCGCAGCATCCTAATAAGCATAATAGATGAATCAGACTCGATAATCACCTGCAGAAACTCTTGTTCGACGCACACCGTCCAAGCCTCACGAACTGCCTCGGCTTCAACAAGGGTTGATGCTGCTCAAATACCTCCCCGTCCACCTACTACCTGGAACCATTCAGCAAATTTTCTTACCCCGCCGAGGCCTGCTGTGGCAGACCCACCATATTATTGCAGCTATTTAAAAATGCATCGAAAGGAGGAAAATTATCGGCCACATTTTGCCCAATAAAGGTTACATCTAAGGCTCTACAAGACGCCAATTCAACGGCAGGCTAAGGTCTAACATCTGGACACTTATGCAGGGAGAAAAACTTGTGTGGAATTTAGCTTGACGCTAGACTTTTGTGAGTGGCATCACAACCCACTCTATAAACTCACCACGTAGTAAGTTTTTAATATAATATTTTATCATTCCCCCTCATTCTTCTATTCTAAGATTTTCATAATGGGTGTGATATTCGCACACCACTTTTTACTTCTTACACATTCCTTATTAATTTTTGTCCTTTGATCTTCTTTAATTCATTCGATCCAGCGGTTGAAAATCAAAAGAGTGAGAAGTAAAATGCGGTTTTCATAATCATCTTTTCCACTAATTAATACACTATAAAATTTATCTAATGGTTCATATTTTTCCCTCTCCTCCTCTCTTTCCTTTTCCTTACCTCCATACCGTTGCAATCAACCATATATGAAATAGCAAAAGGGCCCTAATTCATCATGCTCTAACTCATCACAATATCATACATATAACATAACAATTAATCATGCATGAAATAGTGAACTGAGTTACCTGAATGCATCACCAAAGGCATAATCATCAATTCAACCCCAAATCGTCGATGCTGGTAGCCGTTGTTCTTCTTTGCCGCAAGCCAAATCATTGAGGCAATCATTCATCCAAGATCAAGTCATCTTGACCCTTTGATTAACATCCCTTACATACACACTTTGCATGCTCGGAGATCGAATCAGAGGATTCAAATTGTAAAGAGATTGTAACCCTAAACTCATTAATACAAATATCTTTTGTACACGTGTTCTCTTGTTATTTGGCACAATATTTTTGTGTTTACATGTTTATTTGTAGTTATGAAATATTGGTTTTTGAGGTTGCTTGGTTTGAAGATGTTAATATGTTGTCTAACATATTCCAAGAGATACTAACGTTCATAATCTGTTTTTCTTTTTGGGAATTTTGCATGGATGGGCTACGAGTTGATGAATTTATTGACAATTCTGATTTCATGAGTCTATATGTGTGGTGGTGCTTGATGATTGTTCAAAGGTTTTGGTGAACAACGTAGAAGACTTTCTAAATTCTTTTGAGTTTTTGAGAATTTGGATGTTTGAGAGTTTTAGAGTTACAAAACTTTAGCATATGGTCGTAAAATGATTTCGGAACCCTTTCTTTATCTTGGAACCTCGTATTTATAAACTCTCCAATCTTGCCTACAAATGAATTTGGCATTGATTGTGGACTCACTTAATTGACAAAAAATTAGGACTCGATTTTGTGTGCCGATTCATAATTTGACTCTATCAATTAACATTTGATTTAATTAAATTAAAATCAAATAATTTACTCCCGCCAAGTGTTGACATGCGTCCTTCTTGATGACTCGTCCGATTTTGATGAGTCACATCCGTGTGTACATTTTATAAAACACAGTGTATGCCACGTATGCCCTGACATACCAAAACTTTAATATATTGACGAACATTTATTTCACTGAAATTTCGATGTTTACAACACAATTTGTATTCAATTTGATTATCACCGGTTTTATCTAGCTATCAATTAAAGGTAATATATTCAATGATGCCAAATAAAATTTTATAATTCTTTATCTCAATTAAAATTGGATATTCAAGATTTTAAAGAGACAATTTTGACCAACATAATAATTGATCATTTACAGCAACCATATGTGTATATCCCAGTATATCAATTTTGACCAACGGAATAAATCATACGAGTAAAATTCCAGATAAGAAAGCGGAAGCAGATTCATAAAAATCATTACAGACCCAGACAAAATAATATAGTATCAGAGATGATCAAAACCAAGAAGGAAAGTTTTCCAGAAACAACATTCAAGTTAAAACCTTTTCTTGCCTAAAAACGGATTGTGTCACATGCATTAACTTCATTAGTCTAATATGAAACCATTAGTTTAATAACAATAATAATAATAATAATAATAAAGGTTAACTATTAGACTAACCATTAGATGCATCAGGACACAAAACCATGGCTTCTAATATTGACATTTGCAATTCAATATATATTGATATACTAGCTCAAAATAAAATTCAGAAGTTTAATAACCATTAGATGCATATGTTTGTTCATATATTCACAAACCTCAACAACTCCTTGATCTTTTGCAAAGATGGTTTAGACAAAACAAGATTTTTCCCTTTTTCAAAATTGCAATTGTCAAATAATTTTGAAAGAAAAAAACACTACCTAATCTTTTACATAAAGATGTACTCTATATTATTTTCTTAAAACCTTACAAAATTCTTTTGCAAACCAAAGTCGATTCCTGCTAAATCATCACATCGATTCCTACTTTGATTTATACTTTCAATTTGAATTCAAGAGCAAAAATTTTAGGCTTTGATACCACCTGTAAGACTAAACTTATCAACAACATATGTTAAGAGATTAAGCTTAGGAACCACAAATTTATACAAGTATTAAAATCACAATTTGATAAACACAATAACAAACTAACCCGTTCAAGCAATAGAACAAGAAGCCAAAGCAGACTTCTAAACAATGCCCAAAGTATGCAAGTTTAATATTGGGCGTATATTTTCTTAGAGCACTATTTATATTGAAACCATCCTCGTGATTTCCCTATTAAAATCAGCTTAAGAAACAAACACACAATTCCTATCCAATTATGAAAGCTAAGTATCAAGATTTAATTAAAGTTTCAATCCCAAACTGATTAGGTCAATTTTAACCTTTGCAACAAAAACCTTTCCATACTAATCTGAAACACTATAGCCGGTTTCTAGCACTCACGACCCTACTCATATTTTAACACGACTATCATGAAATGAAATGAAAAAAAAGTCCAAACCGAAGTTCTTCGACCACACTGTAATTGGCGAACACAAGTACAAAACACGACTCTCCGCTAAACTTAGAGCTTAGAGAAAGGAAGGGAGCAGCTGATGGAACCGACTCAACTCCTTCATTCACTTGTTGATTCCATGGACTCCACAACAACAATCAAAACCAGCATTCAAGAGCTTCACTTATTTCAAAAAAAATCATTACAAAAAAAATAGAAAACGTCCAAAAATTTTAAGAAACTAGTACCTAAAAACGAAAAAAAAAATCCAAGCAATTTCAAGTAATCCTACCCAGAAATAAACAATTCCACCAAAGAAAAATAAACAACAGTAGGAGAAAACCCAATAATTTCAAAAAACCAATAAGGGTTTAAGAGCAAGAAAATGGATAAGCTACAAATATTGAAACTTTAGGCCCGTTTAATATTCAAGTCAAAATTTTTTATTATTTTTAAAATCAGTTGGGGGAACAGTCTGCAAAGAAAGACTAGTGAGACTGTGTAACAGTCCAGTTTAGGGATGATTCATCCAAATATTTTTCTTCAAAATTATTAGAGCGCGATTCGAATTAGTGTACATATCTAACATCTTTCTACACCCAACTTACTATCTTCACTCATATTATTTTTTTATTAAACAATTAATATCTCTTTAAATCCAAATTTATTATCTAAAGTACTACCCTCTCAAACCCAATTCAAAATGTAAAATTATTTTTACACTCATTCCATAGCAGAATATGAGATGTCAGGCCTAGTAAAGGTGAGGTACTGTAAAACACCTACTAAGCTTCTGTAAATAGTTGGATGTGGAAGAGTAGTGCTTTCTGGTATAAGTAACTAAGTATGAGGCCTTAAAGGTATAGGAGTAGGTTTACAAGTCTCTATGCCATCCTTTTTAACCAAATCTTGAATGTACTTCGATTGGAGAATAAACAAATCACCATTCTCTTTGCACTCAATTTGCCGGCCCAAAAACAAGTCAGAGGACCCATATCTTTCAATTCAAACAATTCTACATGATTATTAATCACTTGTTGAACTTGAATATTAGAACCAGTTAAAACGATGTCATCCACATAGAGCAATAAAATGACCACATGGGAACCATCATATATGACAAAACTAGCATCTGACTGGAAGGAAACAAATCCCAAAATAGGTAAGGCTCCTATAAATTTTGAGTGAGAAGCTCTAGGAGCTTGTTTGGGACCATAAGGAGATTGAATGAGTCTGCAAACATAGTCAGCAAACTTGTAGAAACGCAATTTTAATATCCAATTGCCTAAGTTTCCACTTATGAGTTGTAGCCAAAGCCA